ACCCCTCTAGGACATTCTTAGGAAAATGCATCACTCCTTACTGAAATCATATTCAAGTATTTTTCTGTTAGCTTTTGATCTAGGGCAGGGAATTTTTCTCATATAAAATTTACAGTATCAAGTTGCTTTCCACATGATATTACTTTAAAACAATACACCAATATCCTTCACCACACCAGAGAAGACACTGCAACATTTATCTTAATACAGGCTGATTCTGTAAAAAAATCCAACACAAATGCAGTGCTACAGAAAGTTTTGTTTTAAGATGATAGGTTATCCAGAAGTCTGCTCTTCTGTAAAACAACAAGAGATCTGTAATCTCTGTTAGCAAAGATCAGAGCATTATGACCTGCTTTTGCTATGATCCAAACAGAATCCCCCCATACCAGTATTGCTAGTACTTAACATCTTGTCTTTGAAACAGGAAGCACAGACTCAGCTGAGAAACATACTGACAGCTTTGCCTTCAAGCTATTAAATGACCTACAAGCTAAGGAGGTGCTTCAAGAAAGCATGACTTTACTGGAGATTGAAAAAAAAATCCTAGAACCAGCTTCTTGATGAAAAGCTGCCTGGTGGAATTAAAACCCTTAAATGTATGAAAGGTTTCTTAATAGGGTTCAGTGAGTCCAGCACACCCATGCACTGCACAGCGAGTTCTGGTGACACGCGATCTCGCATGCTTTTCACTAGCTGCCTAACAAAGCAGATTAACTTTTAAGGTGGCCCATCCATTTTTAAAAGGCCTTTAGAAAGTTTTTACCATATTTAAAAGGCTTGGCATGAGACTGATCCAGCAGCAAATGGTGCTCTATATACTACAAGCCTAATCTTGAAATAATTTTAAATTACTACTTGGGCTTACAAATCAAGTTGTCCTGCCCCCATGACTACAAATAGCACTCAGTCTCTGTTCCAAGCCACTTTTAAAAATACAGAAATTAATCAGCTCTTTAAGAGTCTTCTGAACTAATAACCTTGTTTAGAAACAATCTGCAGCACGTTCTTCTGAAAGTTAACCATCTGGCTTTTACCTTTCTTGCTCCTCTTTTTTTCTAAGAGGAAAAATATTTTCCACATTATTTTCACAGTGCTGCTCACGCAGCATGTGAAATGCTCTTAAGAGCTGAGAAATTGGTTTTTACACTTGGCTCTGTTTTGGCAGGACACTCGGGTTTTCTTGGTGTCATTTCTATACCTTCAGAGTTTAGAGAGATACTGTAACCTAAGGAGTACAAATGTAGGCCATATATTGTGGGGAGGACTTAGACAATACGCAAACTTTTTCTTAAATACACTACTTCAATCAAAGGATACTGTAAAGAGTAAGCAGGATCTAATACTGTCCTGTTATCTTTTGAGCTGCAGCTCTTCTTTTCAGTGCTTACTAGCCTTTATGTCACTTAATAGCTTAATCACATTGAAAATCTGCACTTTATAGAAAAGCAATAATTCTTTAGAAAAATCCTTTTTCCCCATTTTTCTTCAAGTTAATGACAAGAATGCAAAGAATTAAAGTTCAAGCAGATAAACTTCTATATAGGAAGTGGCATGCAGCCACTTTCTGAGCAAAATTAAAAATATCAAAAACCTTAAGGCAATAAGTTACAAATACTTGATAGATGCTGCCACAGGCTCTTCAAAATATTATAACATGACTTAATTGTGCATATTGACGTGTAATTAACTAGGAACGGTTAATTAATGAGATGAGAGTAGGAATATTGCTATAGTCACATTGATCTAACAACACATGACAAAACTGGTAGCAAATAGAAGTTATTACCTCAGTCATACAAAAACAGAAAAGGTCAGAGAAACAGAGTACATCCTCTTCCCAGACTACCTCTGTTCATCCAAGAGGTGTATTTTCAAAGATTTCTGTACGCACATATTTAAGATTTCCCACTCCTTTAAGTTATTCACAGTTTTCAAATGATATTCCACATGCTTAATATGTGATTATGGGTACTATGATTGTCCGCTTAACTGCTTAAAATTTTCCCAGTGACTGCTATAGAGAAGAATTATCTATACTATACATATATATATTTTCCTTATCTTAGCATATATACCTGAGCCTAAAGTGAGCAGCTTACATTCCTATCTATATCCAATTGACTAACACTAAGAAACATAAAGAACATAAGCATATACGAGACAAACATAAAAACCCCTCATTTTAAACTGAAAGTCATCAAAAGAGATTGTGCCAGCTATTTGCATCCTGAACAACACGTTCTTTGTAGAAATTTTGACATCACCATTTAAAAATAAAAACAAAACAGGCATAGTCAAGTAAAGCACTGTTCACATGATCAGAAAGGCAATGCTGTGATATATCCTCAAGACACAGGTCTGAATTTTACTAAATTTAATGAATTTTTAAAATGCTTCCATACAGCACCAAAGCAGCATAAATCCTGCATCCACTATATTTACTGGGTATCTTTAGCACTTAAGTAAACGTTGCAGCTGACACTTGACACTGCACAGGGATGTCAAGTGATCACAGGAGGCAAGTCATGACCCAGGATGGATGATAAGGTAGTAACACAGTATCATCCATCATTTTAAAACGATGAGGAGCCTTGCAGAGATGGCACACTGCACTCTACTTCACACTAACTTTAAGAACCTGTTAGAAAAATAAACAGCCACACATACCAAAGACAAGCCAAATAAGGCTAGTTATTAGTATCAGAGGCATCATGCATATGCCCCTCTCCACCCCCAAAAAAGAGGAGTTTGGCTTTCCCTGTTTGTTTAGGTAATAGGGCTACAAAAGTTAGTACTGTATATTTGAGATTTGCAGAGAAACAAACCCCATCCTGCTCATCTTCAGCTCTGCAGTTTTTGTAGGCTGAAGACCTTGCACATTTTCCCTAACAGAATGTTACCCACTATAAAATTGTGACAGTGCAAATAACAGACTATGATAGCACTCTTCACTGCTCCATAAACTTCTATATAAGCAGTACCATGTGCTAGTGATTATATATCACTACAATTTCCCCCTTGGTTAGATGCAGAGAGAAAGGCAAAATAGAGCACAAAGATATTTTCAACACACGAAAGTGATCTGTTTTAATTTATGACATTTCACACCTTAAGACTTCATCTCAGTTGCATTCTACTCTACCAAACTTTATCTGAGATGAAATACTTTTTGCCTGAAATGGAAAGATATTAGAATTGGTCAAGTTAAGAGGACAAGATGTTTTGTTTCCAGGATTTTTTTTTAGAAAGTTAAAATATTTTAGAATTATTCTAATTGTCCTCAAATTTCAGTAACAATTTATTAATAAAAACATTTTTTTACTTAAGCCCTTTTCATACACAAATCCATCTATACACATTGGAATTACATGGTGGGGGCAGGGGGGAAATCAGGGCACCAAGGGATTTGGAAGGGTATGTTTCTTTTCTATTAAAATGATTGAATAATCCACCCTCTACCACCTGAGACTGCACATGCCCCATTCCTATAAATTATCCTCTCTCCAGGTGATCTAAAGCATACATTAGAACTACCTTCCCTTTACTTACACAACCCTCCTCCTAGCACACAGAAGAGGAATGAAAAATCAGGGAAGGGGGAGAAAAGCCACACAGGAACAAAAACTTAAGAACCATCCCACAAACAGAGGGAGGAAAAGGACCAAGTCTGGCTGGAAACAGAAATTCCGAGCTTGGCTCATCTCTGCATCCCTGCATCTCCCAAGGCTGAGGGAAGCCTGAAATCTCTGAGTCTGTTCCAAGTGTCTTTGTTCTTCTCACATCGATGAACTCACTGGCAAAACATCCATCTCCTCTAGTGCTAGCCTATTTCCTGCTGCCACTGGCATTACTACATTTGTTTAAATGGCAAAGGTCTATGTAAATAAGTTTCAACCCCACAGAGTGCCCACGTGGGTACTAAGAAGTCATACCTTGGTGTTCTGTTTGCACTAGTTACACTTTTAACAACACAGACAGCATTAGAGTTGCCAACTTGCACAAAATTATGAAAAAAAGCAAAATTAAGACTCAAGCCATTTTTAACCATCACTTTGGGGCTTCCATTAAGCTAGTCCTATACTTAAAATCTCATATTCTATACACCTTGAGAAATGCCTAATTTAGACACAAACCAGAGGCATAAAGAGCAAGAAAATGTCTGTACTACCTTTAATGCCTAACTAGCTTGAAAAGTTAAAGAAACTGGGATACTTAGGAATCATGGAACTACAAAGAAAGAGAAAAAGCAAAACCAAACCAGAGAGAAGGGGCACTGCAAGCCACACTTAGGACTGCCACAGACTTCTCATGCAACAGCAGGCCCATCCCTTTCCTAAACTTTACTGTTATTTTTTCAGCATGTTCTTCATTCAGTTTACAGATATCTGTGTAGGTAACCCAGAAACCAATTTGTATATATATACACACACTTGGCACTTGTGACAGCAAGGAGGACTTGTACTTTAAACACATGAAATGATTTACAATGTATGATACAGAGACAAACTAGTGTTTTAACAGCCCCATCAGGTGAAATTCATGGAGTACTTTGATGATACTGTGATAACCAACCAAGGTTAGAGAGTAACTTAATAAATCTGCTCTTTGGGAAGGCTTTGGCTAACGTGGTTAAGGTGAAATTAGAGCTGCTTAAAAAAACAAAACTACGTATCAAGTAGCAATGAATTAAATGAATACAATCCATCTTCATGCACAGGTGCTACAAAGAGAAAAACAGGATGCGTTCAGACAATTAAAGTGCATTGCTGACACACTGTGTAAACTCATACACAGAAAAGGCCCAAGACGAAGAGCAAACGAAGCGACAAGGTCAGAAATAACCCACGAAGGGCAGCTACACCCTGAAGAACGCCACCCAAGCCCGCTTGGCTCTCAGCACCAATCTGCGCCAGAAGCTGTCACGGAGGCATTTCAGGCGGCCGACTCGCGGAACCGTGAGGAACCGCGGCAGGACGGGAGCCTGCAGAGGCACTTGCCTTGTTGCAGTAGAGCATCCAGAGCTCGTAGAGCCTCTCCCGGGAGGCCATCCCGCCGCCCGCGCCGCGCTGCGCTCGCCGGGCCGCTCACGACCCCACCATGCTCGCAGCGCGGCGCGTTTCGCTCTCCCGCCGCGGCCGGCGGGCCCTCGCTCTCTCCTTTCCGGGCTCCCACTCCCGTTTGTCGAGCTTTCAGCCTCTCGTTTCGGGGCCGGCCGCGCAGCAGCAGCAGCACAGCGGCAGCCGCGGCCGGCGGGCGGGCATGGCCCTTCCTCCTCCTCGGCGACGCGCTCTGGAAGCGAAAACGCACCCTGCAGGCCTTCGCTTGGGGGGAAAAAATACAAAAAAAAAAAAGAAATAAAAATAGAAGGAAGCCGCAAATCGCTATTTAACGCCCGCAGGCGCCCCCGGGGGCTCCGCGGCGGCAGCTCCCGCCGCGGCTCCTCCGCGCAGCCGAGCCCGGCGCCCACTGCCCCGGGCCCCACGCCGCCCCTGAGGAGACGCCGGCCGCAGCCCCGCGCCGCCTCTCCCCGCCAGCCCGCAGCCTACCGGGGGAAGCCGGGCGGCGGCGAGCGGCGGCCGCGGGGCGGCGGAGGGGGCCGGGCCGCGCCACATCGCCCGCCCCGCCCGCATTCCCGCGCACGCCCCGGGCCGCGCCGCCGGCAGGGGAGGAGCGGACGCCGCCGGCGCCATCTTGGCTGCGGGCAGCGCCTCCAGCAGGCGGGCAGGGCGCCCTCAGGCGCGGCCGTTAGCCCCGCCCGTTGAGGCCGTTACGAGTCACGCCCCCAGCGGGCGACTGTTCTGGTAACGGCGTCACTGCCTTTGATCCCGACCGTTTCCCCGTTTCCAGGCCTTTGTTGAAGGAAACGCGGGATGCTCAAAGTCGTAATTCCAACTTTTCTGCAGTTAAACAAGGATTTTCCTCCCTACTCCCCCCCCCCCAAAGAATTTGTTGCACAAGCAGTCTTTTTCACCCTTTTAACAGTATTGGCCATCAACATGGCCAATAATTTTTAGAGAGCCAGAGTAAAGAGTAAAAAAATCCCACAGTTTTACAAGTGAAGGCTGTCAAGCACCCAAGTGTCCCACCTTTTCCAAAGAGACCTCTCTGCCTAGACCTGAGGTATGTGTAAACACATGGAGTGCCCTGGCTCTCAAATGGGTTAAGTAGCCCATGTTTTGGTACACAGAGATTGTGCAGGACTATGAAAGAGTGCACACCTGAAATAATATCTTTAGCAGAGATGTGAAAAGACTTTTCTCCACACTGAGGTGACAAAAAACCCACAAAGTCTCACACATGCTTTGCTTGGTGAAGCAGAGCTTGCCATTAATTGCCCAACTTGTTTCTTTGCAAAGGACTTCCATCCCACTGCAAAGTTCACATGAGATATAAGCATTCTCTGTCAAGAAAATGCCTGTAGGAAATAACATCACTGTCTGTTTGAAACTTTGCTAGGGATGGATATGTATACCAAAGATCCTAGAGAAAAGTTGAGATTGGTTTCTTCAATATAGCTTTTGTTTGATTGTTTGTTTCTTATCTTTAGAAGATGATTGAAGTCTCCCTGGTGAAATTTAAGGTCTGATCCATGCTGAATGCTGTATCACATTAATCAGCAATGCACAAGTGAAACAACTAATTTCTACTGAGTTATCTAAACATAGTTCCTACCATGGATGCAATCTTACAGATTATTTTTAGTTCTATATGTGTGTTCTGGTACTTGCTACTAACTACAGTACTCCCCCACCCCTGCTACATATTTTTTTCCCATCAAGAAAGAGCAGCTCAAAGTCCAACTGTGTCACCAGGAGGGACTTTGCCCAGACACCTCTTTGTTAACAGCCTCCAGATATGGAAATGCCACATCTTCCTTAGGGAACTTATCTCACTGCTTAAGATACTACTAGGAGCTCTTTCCTAACATCCAGCCTACAAGTCCATTAGAACAAATTCAAACCATTACTAGTTGTCCCTTCCACAGTAATATGGGAAAAGGAAATTCCCTCAAGGGTACTTTATGATTTAAAAGCTGTTATCATATCTTCTTATAGGCTTCTCTAGATAAAGCGCCTGTTTGTTATTTTAAGTTCCCCTTATAGCTCATTCTCTTTGAAGAAGACCGGCCCAAGCAATACTTATAGAAAACCCTATCTTTCTTCAGAACCTGCTTTATTTCCTTGCATCCCTCTAAAAAGAACGGCCTCTGCTCCCACAAATAAGAGGGACTAATGGACTCTCTCAACAAGCTCTGATGGAAAAAGAATATCATCAGAGATCTCTTCCTTGTTAAATGCTACCACTTAAGTAATGAAGATGGTCACAGAACATAAAACAGTTATTTCCCACAGTAGGAACTATAACATTCGCTAGCTTATTGAGGTTGAGTCAGTGCTTATGCAAGCAGCTATTATTGTTCACAAGCATGCTAAAAGAAAAACAATATACTAGTGCTTAGTACAAGGCCAGTCTGTCACGGTAAAAAATGACTCCCTATGAAATAACCTCCTAGACAAAGTTCAATAAAATTACCTTCACAAAAGCCTTACCAATAACTTGAAAGTCAAAGAATGAAGAAACCACCACAAGCCCAAACCTCCTGCCTATATAAGCCCGCTTTGAAATTGATTGGTCAAACTGTGAATGCCAATTTTGAGAATGCTGAACACCTGAGTGTCTCCCTAATTGCTTCCTAATTGCTCCACAGACTTTAAATACCCTGGTAGGCCACTCTTACTTTTCTCTTTCTGTGGTAAGTGCTTGATCATAGCAGTGTTTTCTTCTGTGTGCTATTTTTTCATATGCTTTTGTTTCTTATAGGCTTCTTTGGCTTTTAACTTTGATATTTGTATGTCTTATGATTAGCTAAACTGGAAGTAGCTGTGGAAGGGGTGGAATAAAGAGTGTATGTAAGAAAATAACAACTAGTTCAAAATGAGGGAAAAGTCAGTAATAGAAGGAATATTGATTGAACCTTTAAATGAGGATATCTTTGAAATGAGAGAAAACAAATAAAATGCTATTTTCATGGTGACCTTCTCTACAGCTGAGCTTTTTTTGTTTAGAAGCAGTAGTAAAAAAAAAAAAGCTATAATTCATATTAGGTATTATGAAACAGGTTGTTCAGATCTAAGACTTCTCCTAAGATTGTGCTTTAGACTAATAAAACTTCTATGGTAATAGAACTTAGTAACAAAACCCTGTCTGGGACTGCTTCTTTGATGCATTAAGGCCAAAAGTTTTTTACTTAGAAAATACTAACCATAAATAGTTGAAATGGGCTTAGGAATAAACTTCTCTCAACTGTGCTATTTTCATTTTCTCCTAAGTTCTTATATAGAGTAAGGTGTGTTGTTTATGTTTTAAGCAAGTGGCCTTTAAGGCAGTTAAGAATAAAAGCTGCACTGTAGAAGTTCTTTTCCCTGTATGAAAAGAGAAGTCACCTTGTAGAGGTTAGTGTTTAGGCCCAATTAGTCCCAGATTACATTTGGTGGAGTTACTAGAAAGGAGCAATGTGACCTTGCAAGAAAGTAAAGCCTATGAGACAATGGTTTTCAGAAGATGATACAGGATTATCTGTGGTTACCTAATAAAATGAGGGTGAAATTGTTATACTAAGTAAATGAATATGTATGAATATGCTGAAAGAATATGTAATAAGTAAAATAATTTCCAATAGGTAAAGCTAAATGTTTCCCTCTATCACTATGTACCCCAGTAAATCAGGATTTGCTAGACCAAAACAGATATGGATCTGGAAAGGAGCTCTGTCTTAAGTGAGTTAAAAAAAAAGCCAGTAAAATCATTAGATTTTACTCTCACCAAATGGTAGAGACTAGCTGCATCTAAAGTTAGGATGTGATATTCTAAATAATAGCCTTAAGTTGTTTTTATTCCTGGCTTCTGTTTTCATGTGTTCAGAGTTAACCAATTTGCTAGGTATAGATTTGGCAGGGAATTTCCCTAAGGGTAATTTGGGTCCATGGCAAATATTTTTGTCCTTTTCTGTGTATTTGCCCTGTTTCCACAGGGGACTTCAATATAATGAATAGCATGCATTAAAAGGTCCTGGCAATGACTTCATCTCTTCTGCTTTTTTACGGCATTGGCTGCTTTACCAGAGGCCTCAAGTCTGCAGCTGTGCTGGGAGTGTTCTTGTGTATGGAACCCCTTAAGGACACTTCCAGGCTAGCATCTAGTAGGTGATTAGAGGGGATAAGTGTGATTTGCTTGTATTCTTACAAACCCTAACAGTTGATGAAGATTCAGGCTAGCAGCTACCACCTCTCCACTGCTGTTGTCCATGCTAGATGTGCTTGGTGTAGCCCAACTTGAGAAGAAAATGCTTATGTCTGTAGCTCTTCAAGCTGCATTTAAGCAGAGTGATGCAAAGCACCAGTTATGAAGTCATTCACTGAATGACTTTCTTATACTGCAAAGTTTTGCAGATTGGGCATGTAGCATGACTCCTGAAAGTGTTCAGTGTGAGGAGAAACAAATGTGGGCCAGCCAGGTTTGAAGGATGTGTAGGTATCATCAATCTTGGGGAGTCTTTCTGAACTTAATTTCTTCTGAGGTGGCAGAGTAATACTGTCCAGAGAATGTCTGCTACAGTAGCTTTAAGGCTTGTGGGTTTTCTGGCAAATTGGTGCATGTTGGATTGGGGAAGAACTGAATGAAGGGAGGCAGCTGCAGGGGAATGTTATTAGGAAAGATCTGATTGCTGCTGGAAGTGGGCTGCTTGCAAAATATTAGTGCCAACCTGGGCTGGCACCTGGCCAGGACCTCACAGAAATGGGAGTGGTAGCTCCAGCACACAGTGACTCCTGTCTCAGAATGAGATACAAAAACAAGGCTCTGTCCTTCACAGTGACCTTGGAAATGCTCCAAGGACTCTGCTAGCCTGGCTTCTGACACAGAAGGAGTATAGAGACCTGAATGATGGCTAGTGTTGTAAAACTTGAAAACATAGTTTTGAAAGATCCTGCAGTGTTAAGTAAACAGTTTTCTGTGAAAGTGTTTGAGGGATTTGTGGGGACCGCTTCAACACTGAATGGG